GTGGGCGCTTACGGCAGTTTGTGGAAGAAAATATTAACATGGTCAGTTGCGACTTTGACCAATAAAACATATCCTCTGGTAGGTGTTGAACAGAGAGGCCTATCATAGCGAAAGAAAGTAAAGGTTGGGTTGATCCATAACTAAATTCGTGAACATTAAAAATTAAACTGTCCTCAACAAAGGAGACAATAAAAGGAATAAATGCATCACTCGCGAAACCGTGTATGTTGCCAAGCCAATCGTCAATGAAATTGGTTCAGTCGCGTCTCCTGTATGCTTATCATACACGTGTAATGTGCACGAGGAGATCAATGAGGTCAACCGTTTCTCAGAACAAAGAACGATTGTTTAAACTAACCAATGGATGGGCAATCGTCCTCACAGGAGGTATATGTGTAAGAGCGGTCTCCCAGCCCGAAAAATTGTCTCCTGCTCCAGTCAGAAAATTTAGTTTGGATGGACTATCGAGAGTTGGATAACGTGAAACAAGAATGGTTAACATTTATTCATTGTAATAATTTCCTGATTTTCGAACGGAAACGAAAGTCTAACGAAAACGAAAATCTAACTTCAAATGCGATAGTGAACACCAATCTAGCGCAACCAATCGAAGGTCACGCAGGAAGAACAGAAATTGGCCAGCGTTTACCGATTTTCACAATCTGACATTTTGTTGGGGTTGGAATTCTACCAAAAGTAGTCCATCTTTGACTTGACCTAAGAGTGTGAATACCCTGGTTGGAATAGTTCCCATTAAATAATTTGGCCGAGAAAATTTAGGATCGATCTATGTCGTGGTTAGGGATATCAGATGATATTACCATTTATCGGACTTAGTGGGGCTCATACACCCATTCAGTTACCTTGCAAATTTTGTTCAATTATGTGCCGCACTTTTACGCAGGCACTGCTGACAGCTTCTAATTCTTCAAGTGAAGCAAACCAATCGCATGCTACCAGGAACCCACCAAAGTGATTGGTTCTTCTGCCGTTACATTTCATCGATTGGGCCGGGTCTTCTCGCGCGCCCTTCCGTTGGCTACGCTACGTTTTGTGTGGTCGTCGTCTCACTGGATTTTATGGTTATCTCGATGTCAAACATGTTCCGCACCCACACCTACTCTCGTCAGGATGTACTTAGATTGAAATCTGTTAATTTTTTGCCTCATACAACCAATATGCTCGGAGATCTGGCAATCATGCTTGGATCAAGAAGCGCAAGCGTGCTGGATGGCAGTGTGCGCTTAATAGCACCCCTTCTGCCAAGATGACCGTGCCGTCATTGGTCAGAACCAACGTTCGCTCTCTCTTTGCAAAGATCTCGGATTTAAGTTCCTCAATGAACACGCGCATTCATTCCAACACATGTGTCGCATGCATACAAGAAACCTGGTTAACTCAAACGTTGAGGATGCTCTCGTGCAGATAGGTGGCTTCGACTATCACTGGCAGGGTAGACAACAAAGCACGAAGAAAACTGGATGCGGTTTGACAACGTACATCAACACTTCTTGGNTGGTGTGGCCAGTCTGAAGTGGTTTTCAGCTATTCTGAAAAATCCATTGACGGTTTATCCGTTCGTTGTCATCCCAGATTTTTTTCGGTGTAAAAGTACAATAATTACTTAGGTGTATATACCTCTTTCGTGCTCCCAATCAGATGTCTTCTTTCTTTGATCACTGCATCTCGTTTTTGATTCCAATATTAGATGAAAATCTTCATTTGGCTGTTGGTGACTTTAACCATGCAAACACTTTCCCTCTGTTTTCTTTTGGTTTGTCTGATTTGTCTCGTTCTCCTACCAGAGGCAGCTCTATACTTAATCGGGTAATCATAAATCATCCCACTCTGTTTTCTCTCAAACTAATGGCCTCAATCGCTACCAGTGATCATTGTCTTCTCCTCTTAAAACCAAAGATATATTCCCGCTCTGTATATCCAACATTCATACGATCAAACAAGATAAGGTTCCATCTCATTAACTTTTCATCAACCCGCATTTCTCTTCTCTGTCGTTCCATAACGGTTGCCCAATCTTGGTTTGCTTCTTGTTCTTCACTTCTTAACTGTGTCAGTCTTTTCACCGAAACGAGGAAATCAATTTTCCATTTTTGCTGTGCCATGGAAACGCTGTTTTTTTGCAACGGCCAAATTGCATCTCATCGATTGAACTCACTACAAAGGCAAAAGGAACGATCCTATAAATNCTGCTGTAAAGTACTATTCTAACTTAATTAAGGCTGAGATAACACGTTTAGACAAGACGTTCGCTTCCCAAATCCTGCAAACGAAAAACACAAGGCTTTTGTGTCAAAGAATTCGTCTTCTCTGCGGACAAAAAGAAAAACGTGCACAGTGATGTTGATGTAAATAGTCTCAACCCTGCATTGCTTTATCCGTCTAATGATAACCAGATACTCTCTTTCCCATGTGAGGTTTCTGATTTTGATCTGTTCCCTTTTTCTAATGATGAAATTTCTAAGCTTCTACATTCCTTCACACCATCGTCATCTGTGGGCCATGATGGTCTTCGTCAAGCGTTTCTCAAGTTTCGTGTAGCCCCCCTAACTAGTATGATGACATCCCGCACCAACGAGTCTCTTTCAGCACAGATGATCCCCGATTCCTGGCGATCAGTGATCATAATACCTGTTCCAAAGTCCTCATCCTCAACCGTTCTTGCAAAACGTTTTCGTCTCATCGCATTGACGTCTGTAGTTCTATAGTTGACTGAGAAACCCATCCTGAGTCGCTTACAGTCACTTGTCACCATTCCCGATGATACTCTTCAGTTCTCGTATAAACCTAACAGATCCTCTTTGGATGCTCTGTCTACTCTGATCCATTTTACAAGCAAGTCATTACACAGCTCTGCCCAATCTGTTCGTTGTTTTTTTTCAATTATTCCTCTATTTTGATTCTGTATACCGGTCATTTCTCCTTTTTAAGCTTGAATCTTTTGACACTCCGAGACAGATGCTTTCGTGGCTTTCTGATTATGTCACTGAAAGAACCTAGTGCACAAAACTGGACATAAATACCTCAAGTCCTTTAGTCAATAATTCTGGTGTGCTTCATGGTGCTGTCTTCTCTTCGTATCTTTTCTCTGCTTTCATTAGTGATCTTTCAGTTGCACGCTCATATTCAAAGGTATGCTGATGATGTCGCTTTATGTCAGACCATTTCTTCTTCTTCGGAATTTTCCTCCTCTACTGAAAATCTGTCCCGAATCGAACAGTTTCAAACCAGTCTGGCCTTAATCTTAACACATCCAAGTGCTTGCAGTGTATTTTTAGTTCTTCCTGTTCTGCATTCCCGTCAGATTCTGTAACCTTTAATAATAACCTTTTGTCTAGAGTGACCTCAGCCAAACATCTGGGTGTTACTATCGATAATAAACTTCGGTAGTCGATACAAATTCAGAACTGTATGGGAGAACTTCGGCGCCTCTTCTTTCCGCTCCGAAAGCTCAGAAAACTTCGCACTCCCTAACAAACCTTATTCTCTTCTTTTGTTAAACAATGCGGTCTCCCTAGTTTACTTTACTGCTTCCCTGTAGTGGTGGTGGTGGTGGTGGTGGTGGTGTGATAATTTGGTTACGCTACCACCGCCAGCACCGTTCGAACTGCAGATCAAGTCAATTCAAGCTTACCTTGACTTGACTCAACTTGACTTGACACTTCGCTTTTCCGTCTTCCGGACTTTTTCCCTTATGGTCATCAGGATTGTTTTTATTTATCCTTTGAAATCGGGTCTTTTTCTCTGTTTGATTCAAGTGACAGACAAAAAACGATTAAGTATAATATTCATTTTTGACTTTGATACCTCTTGGTAATTCACAAAGCATTAGGTAATCCAAATCTACCCGAGGCATTGAGAAGACGCACAAACGCCACTGTTTACGACACCCGGCCATATCACTCAATGTCTCTAACCCTCGGTTACGATCATCCCAACGTCCCCAGCCAGGGAGCCTAACGGGACCTATGTGACCCAGACTCCTGGTTAAGGTTTTCATACTCTCATGCCAGGTCCTAGCTTGAAAACCCTTGGCTTTCCATTTCGCCTGTTCGCCAAGCTTGGCATCATCAGTGCGCAAGCACTGATGATTCGATCAATTAACTCGTCGGTCGGCTCAGATGTGACACAATAAGATGGATAGAAAGGAACAAGAATCAATGGTGAAGTAAGAAAATGTACTAATGGAAAGAGAATAAACTGGGTACGAGGAGGACAATAGTAGTAGGAGGTCAACACGGATTCAACATGAACTTGGTTGCTAACCTTCCCTCTTCCTGAGTGAACAACTAAATAGTATTCGATTGTTACGTTTGCTGTCCCTCAGTTAAAAGGCTGATTCCTTGAAACCGGTCATTTGAAATTCTGAATTAGCACTTCTTGGGTACTGGCTGAATAAATACCCCCACGCGTTTAAAATCGCTTCTGTATGGATACATCTTTTCATCTACCAAAATCTTCAGTTATTTAATTTGATTGGATAGTACAATTATTATACTAATTATATCCTCTTTGTTGTATTTTTTATTTCTTTTCATTTTATTTCCATTTTATTGATTATACAAAGATACAATTTTCAATGAGCGGGAAGCGGCTAATTAAAGGTTTACCATTAAACACGCTGGGGAAAGTCAGACAGTGGAGGTGGGATGATTTGGTGACGTTACCACCGGGTCACCACCACCGAAGTTCTTCAAACATCAAATGGACAAGTGAACTTACTAACTTTGAGTTAAATTGACTTCTTCCGGTATTTTTTGGCGGCTATTAGTGTGGTAACTTAGAACAAATGATTTTTCGTCCAAGGAAAAGAGACGAGGTCACATACAATTATCTGAGTTTGATGTTTGATAAATTTACAAGTGTGGATTACTTTTGTCGAATGAGTCGTTGTGTAACGGATCGGCCACAACTCATCTATACCACATTACCGTCCACTCCCTATCCAGCCTGCCTTACGAACTGTTTTTCTGGACTTGTGCATGAATGTCACCACTGTGCTATGCTGTCGAATGACTCCGTTGCAGAAAGCTTCCATTGTTCAATTGGTCCAGATCGGTTTGGCTGAAAGTAATCATTCCAGAGGTCGATCAAGTGGAGCACCGGTTACTGCTGCGGTTGGTGATGGTGGTAATGATGTGGCCATGATCCTGCAGGCCAATGTGGGGATCGGGATCTATGGAAAAGAAGGCCGAGAGGCAACACGTGCTGCGGACTACGCGCTCCCTCAATTTCGGTACATTTCCAAATTTATCGGAGTCCAGATTGGTTCTGATTTATTTTGTTGTCACCGGACTAAATGATGAGACATGTCGACATTAGTGTTTCCAATGTGTACTGTTTCACACTAGGTAACTCGTGAGGTCCCGTTTTAAGAACTTCCTCATACGATTCCAACGAGGAATATTACAGGCATGGCACAACGAATCCGGAAAATTCCACAGTTTACAGTGTTAGCTTAGACCTGTATTTTAGAAAATTGGTCGATGAAACCGGATAGAGCAGGACTGTTTGGAGAAAGTAGTGCGTAGTACAAAGATCATTTCATGAAGATAGTGCCGTTCCTAACAATTCGGTTCAGTAAAATCAGTGAATCCTTTGGAGGACAGCACATTTAAATCACAACAGAATTTCCAACTGCATCCGAATTAGTATTCACATACCTGTTAGGCGTCAACTGTGCAAGAGATAGTTCGGACAACTTTTGAAGGGCAGTTTACGGTCTTGTGCATAGAACAGAAACATAGACACTTTCTTTCCTACAACAAATGGTTAAATGGTTCATTGGAATAGTTTACATTTTCTGAATAAATCATCTTTCATGAAAGCTATTGTTCGTACGACCTGTATTCATCAGTTATATTCTACAGGACCTTGCAGAAAAATCCTTTCGCTTAGTTTTACTGTAACACTAGAGTGATATTTATCGCGGATTATCTAGTTTCGTTAACTCATTTTCGATGAAATATACCTTAAGTTGTCAAATGTTCCTCGTGTGGACAACAGTTCAATGTTTCTGGACAAGTTCGTTTCGTTGTTTCTGCTGTAAATGCAGTTTTTACCGAAGTATGACAAACAGGATTGCGTCATCATTATTCACAGATGTGGTATTGTTTATCCTTTCATTCTCCCACCTTCATTCCCACAGATTTCTCCAACGTTTGATTCTTGTACATGGTCACTGGTCTTATCATCGCATCACTTCAACCATGCTTTTGTTCTACGAGAAATGTGTCCTATTCGTGACTGTTCAAATTCTCATGAACTTTTACGCTGGTTTCACCGCTGTCTCCTGGTTTGAATCGACCTACTATATACTGTACAATCTGGCCATGACTGGTTTAATGTACATGACTCTTGGGATCGCTGAGAAGGTGCTCACCGCGGACCAACTGCTCGCTCATCCTCGGCTGTACCGACACGTAAGTCCATGAGGAAAACATTTAATGCGCTTCAAATTTTCTTTTTATTGAATACGCGGTAACATCAACTCGATTCAGAGGGAAGTTAGTTTAGGAAGAAAAGTAAATTCAATTGTAGTATTTAGTTAAGGGGAGGGTGTATCGGGATGACCGATGCTCTCCCTTGCAAAAAACATCTTTACTGTTGATGAATAGTATGGGCAAGGAGGGATAAACGAGCAGAAGAGCTTATAACTTAGTCAATAAAGTTTTTTATCTATCAAAAGGCCGTTATTCAACCGGATATCGTTTCGATATTCACTTCGGTCTTGGAGTGTGAAGGGTGAAACCGACACGGGTTCTGTGCACCACTCAACTTTGTTTACATATTTAGAAGGAGGGAAAACTACCAGAATGCACAGAAATGAACTTTGATGTCTCAAACTTCCTTTGATTCAACTGATGCTGATTTCTTACACCGAGAATATCGGAACATAAATTCGTCAAGTGTTCCACCGGGTTCTTGTTTGCTTTTCGGGTGTCTACAATGTGTAACATTGCATAATCACGCTTGATACTACCGAGCTCACAAAATCTAGATTAGGTACTCAGAGTTGTTAAAATATCAGTCACATCAACAAGAAAACAGATAATGCAGAGCAATTTCAGGGAAAAACTAAAACCAAAAGCATAAGAAGAGTGTATCAAACGACTGAATAATTTTCTCAGTTTCGGGCCAACAATTATCTAGTTGTTCATCTGCAGACTTGAGCAATTTTTGGAAAAGAATCAATTTCATACCGTTCCGATTTTTTAATTACGATTGAATTATACAAAGTTTTTAACTAGCTAACTTTGAGCAATTTTTGGAATTTGTGATCTGACCGAATACTATTCGGGGACATCTGACCATCAGTGCCATTCTACTTAATCACTCCAGTGGCCCTTTGGTTGTTGTGACGTCAGATGAAGATTTCCCTGTGTGCACTAAATGTGAACGATAATTTGAAATTAGTTGAACTAAGTCAAGTAATGTATGCAATATAATCAGTCAATTCGGTTCATCCTTATTGAAATGTATATATTTTTGGACCATATCAATGAGCTTTAAACATCTTAATTTCCTACGATGAACTCTTTCGCGATTCATATTTTGAGGAAGCATTTATATTACTTATAAGTAGCTATAGTATTTATTGCAAATCTCTCCTGTGGGGTACGTTTGGTTGAGGTCTGCTTATCGCCGATTAAGAAGCTTGCAAATGATCATTCAAGTCATGTTGTACTAATCGTTAAATTACCGATTTAATGCTATGGATTGCGTGGCTATTCTTTCTCGTTTATGACCCCCTATTTTGCGCGTTTGCATTTACTCTGGTTCAATTTCAACCACCTTTACTCATCCAAACGCTATCCGACTTCAAAACCTTACCCATGAGCTACACGATCGACGGGCATCACCATGTGCGTAAATGGTTCCATCAATTAAGATTATCAATTTTGGTCTGCCCCATTCGATTCTCCTTGGAAACCTGGGACTGCTGATGGTCTTGGTTTTGACTTTCACTCCTGTGGTTTTGGTGTGTGGTTTTAGTAAACAGAAAACAATGATCATTATTCAAACAATGAAATATAAAATTGCTTAAAACCGGAAAAATGATTTTTGGTGATCAACAACATTGAAGGGCAAATTTCACGGACAAATAATCTTAAGTCAGTTCGTGCGCATGACTGCTAGACATTAAAAATATTTAATTTAGATTAGTGCCCATGGGAGAGGACAACAATAATAAACACTTGCATTTATTTTGTGTTCTACACTAGAGGTAGATAGCCACGTACCGGAGATGTCCAATTGAAAAATTTTTCTGCCATCTTCACCTCAGTACAAATCACACTTCCGTCCCGTCACAGATCTCCAATCAACGAAATCTGCGTCTACAAATTATTCTGTTGCACGTTGCAAATGGCATGTGGCAAGGAGTGGTGATTTTTTTTACAGTCTATCTTGTTCTCCTTGGCACGGATTTGTACAGTGCTGCGATTTCCCGCGATCCCGTCCAAAAAACCGGTGTGGATTTGTTTGACTTCACACTGGCCGGAGCGTCCTGTTACATGTACACTGTTCTGGTGGCCAATCTGCGATTGTTGATCTATGTACGTGACTTCAATCTGGCATTTGGCGTTACCATCTTGGTCACATTCGTGCTCAATTTGACAATTCTCCTCATACTACAGGTGAGTGAATTCTCACTCCGGCTTGTAAGCTGTTTGGTCCCCTCAGGTGAACTCATGCACTAGGATATAAATTCCATGGTTGCTTTCGGAAAGAATTTCAGATTAGCAAACTTCTACTCTGTGATTGGCCCGTTTCAGAGTTTTGAAAGCTTTGCAAAGTCAGAGTGCATATTATCCGAAAAAAGGGGCAAAATTTCGCGTCAGTTCCAGTTTCAGTTTTCACAACCATTAACCATGTGCACTTTTGTGGGCCGATTTTCGTTGCTGTCTCTTGATCGCCCATTTGGATAAAAGAGAAGGACAAAGGTTGGAATGTTGAAGGCCAATCCAAGGAGAAAATAGAGAATTCATACAGACTGGTGCCGGAATTGATTCACTCCGTAGTTCGTAGTTTCAAAAAGAGATGCCAATTCCAACTGGGGTTAGATCAGATAAAGGATTAAGTGTTCCAATGAGAATTTCACTCGGAGAAGCAACCGTATTTTTACCTGTTTCGTTTTGGTTATTTCATCTCCAATGTATTCTGCTTCACGCAGGTAAATTGGAAGAGAAAGATTGCACTGCTAGTGACACTGAATCAGGTCGAAATAGCTGTCCAGTGCTTTTCAGCTTTTCCATTCACGTTTCATTTGCTTTTTACACGATGCAATTCATCTAATATAAACAAACCGAATCCTCGATTTATCACATGATTCAACTTGCTCTCTCCACCTCCATGCTGAGTAGATGTCCAGGGCTTAATCTGCACAACCTGTTCAAACTAACCTGGATCTAGGGCAGTCTTTAGCACCTGCACGAAATCCAGTTTGGTCAGTTCAATAGTAGTTTAGTCCATTTTATTTTTGTTGATGAGATCAAACCGAGAAATCAAATCGTAATGGATCTTTGCCGGCATCTTATCATCTCCCTACCTTTGGGTATCAAGAGCCCCTTGGTGCATGTTTTCTGAGGTACAATAATAATAACAACAGGGGCGTATTTCTTGGATAAAATTGTGAGCATGACGAATTCAGCTTTGACTGGAGTTTGACCGCCTTCAGAGTTAACGAACAAAGGTTATATGTTAGGTTGTCCCTACCTTTCAAACAGACAGCGTTAGAATTTGTAGAAATCAAATTTAATGAAAAGCCGTTCTAATTTTAATCATAGTTAGTTCCCCTTTGGTCATTTTGAAGTGGTTGATTGTCCAGGGTTCCATTTTACACCCGGGGTATTCGTTTGTATCCATTGGAGAAGAGATTGTGCCGAGTCACTGGCTCAAAGTAAGATGTTTTGTGGTCCCAATAATAATTTACCTATCACTGTCTACAACTGACCGAGTTTCTTTTCCACCGATTAGAGAGGTAGAAAAGTAATCATTCAGGGCTATAGCCGGGTAGGTGAACTACAAGCACTTTGCCTGGGGGAATTTCCTGAAAACCTTGATTCAAGATCAACCAAGAGGGGGTGCACGAATCACACACTATCTCTCCCGGTTGTGGTTATGATCAACGGTATGATTTGACATCGAAGTTTACTGCTTTTCTTGGGCTTTTATCCGGTCCAAAAGGTGTACGATTCGATACACTGGGCACTGGCATTTAGCGACTTACAATTTTCACACACTATATTACTGTCTTGCGGGTCAGGCTTTGGCTAGTCAAAGGCTCCGGTTGTGGATCCCTCAAGAAAATTCACCTGCGTTGGCCTGGGCAACCTGGCAGTATTCCGCCCACATGCAAAGCATGTAACGCTTTTCTTTTTCATAAGGATTATTGTACCATGATTTGTTTGGCACACAGTGTGAATTAAGACGCTTGTAAAAATACAAAACATATGCCTTCTTGTTTGGGCTTTCAAAAAGTACAAAAATATGATGTATACAACATCTCCAACTTCTGTTCCTGTTGTCCAGAGGCTGGTAGTGGTTAACAGAACTATTTGGGATGAGTATCCATACCGAAAGCCATGATAGTTCTCACCCAAAAGGGCGGTTAACTGCAGATAGCGATGTATATTGTCGTCCATAATACTCTCCATTTATTCTAGGGACATTGTGTGTGAGAATCGGCCGGAACATGGTTGCCTAATTTTATGTTGACTTAAAAATCAAAATTTCACTGTTGTGATGCTCATTTTCCCTAAGCGCTGTTGCTTGCCAGCACTCACGGAGGCGGTGAGGCACTATGTGTTTTTGATTCTATAATAGGTTATTTCATGTCTTGACTAATTACGCACATCGAGCAGCGGATGAAGGAAAGAACCAGAGAGAACGACTAATATCACAGTTTTATTAGTATGATCTGTGGAGCAGAGAAAGACAGCGAAGTGTACAGGTGAGCTAGCGTGTAGAAAGTGAAAGCCAACGTACCGCGACCATGACATGGTAAAACCATAAGGTCCGAATATGCGAAAGGTACATGTTTGGAGAGTGTGGATGCTGTCACTACAGTAAGGCCTGGTGATACTTCAGGACAACGGAACAATTTAAATACGAGATGCAAATTTGGTATCCGTGTAGTTATTCGTGACACGTTAGCAGTGCATTGTGTACAGAGTCATTCATTGAAAACCACTTCTATATCTGCAACATTTGAAGTAAATCCAGCACTTCCCGACCTGACTCGGACATTTTACACATTTTATCTGTCAGTGCGCTATGATTGTTCTCCATTCACTGCTGACATTTGCAAAAAATCCTTTTTAAGGTTAAAACGAACAAAAACTTTGTTTTGCGGTTCCTCTTTTTTAAATTCTCGAACAATACCATATTCGACACTAATTTGACCTGTGTATTACAGTAAGAATCAAGGTTCTGCGTTCGGTGTTTGATATCTTCTGGGAGAATTTTTCATGTGGAAATATTTCAAGCACATTCCGTTCAATGATTTGTTTCCGTTTTTTTCCATTACAGGTAGTTGTTCCGCCAACTGACTTCCACCATAATCTCTACTACAAACTTGGCCAAAGTCTGTGTTTCTGGGTTATCCTACCCATTGTTGTGTACACGGCATTATTTCCTGCCCTTATTTGGCGCATTTTATCGGATATGTGGTGGGAAAAACAAGTACAAAAGAATTCTATTTGTGCTCCTTGAAGTTGACCACAATTGACCGCAATAAAACCGGGTCTAGTGTGCAAACACGGCCACTAATGAACAGTTACCATGTTTGTAATCAGAACACAGTCAATGGATAACCCCTGGGCGATTTGTATATAACACTCATTGTCATATTATTACATTTTTTTATGTTTTCTTTTCATATTTGCCCCATTTGTATTGCTCGGAATGAAATTTCACAATTTAATGAAGCGATGATAATCAGGAATGTGGTGTTGAGGAAATTAGCTTGTCTTATCCACGACGAATGAAAACCAAAACACCAAGGCATTGGTGAAAACGTTTCGACCCTCTTGGAAGGCCTTTTTCAAGTCGTTTAATCGGTTGATCTCACGTTAAAAGCAATTATAAGGCGATGGGATGATGACATCGTATAGAACTGGGATGTGATTCGAGCATGCGTGTGTGTGTGTATGTGCATGTGTGTGTATGTGTTGGTGATCGTTGAACAGGTGGTTGGGGCGAGTGAAATTGGTTTGACCTTTAGGTCAAAAAGTGTGAAATTAGTCACTTGGCATGTGAGGTGGGGGTGAGACTATTTTGTGTGTACAAGTGTTAGTTGTTGCTATAACTGTGGAATGACTATCCCATCGGATCGATTGATTGCTCTAGGTTCAGCGTTGATCTGGAGCGCTTCGGCTACCAAACGTTCCTTGTGACTACCGAAGCCATGTTTCAGAATGCGCGGGTTTTTGAAATCAACTGCATGTCCATCGCACATTGCGTTACCAGCGATTGCGGAATTGTGTTCCACTCGATTCCAACCTGCTGCATCATTTGGAATCTTTTTCCTTCGACGCATGTGTTCAGTCATTCGTTTGTTTAGGCTTCTGGACGTTTGGCCGACATACGTAACAGGACAATCTAGATAATGTATTCTATAGACTACGTCAGAAGTGTCCCCTTTTGCACGCGGGTCTTTGAGTTTAGCTAGTTTGGAGCAGACTGTGTTAGTGTTTTTGAACACAACCCTGATGTTTACAGGGTTGAGTATCCGTCGTATGTCTTCGGACGTGTTACTACGATATGGAACCAAATCAGTTGTCAGACAGTCGTTTTTCGGCTTAGTTGACTGCAGTGGGTTGATATTTCGGCGTTTGATTTTTTCGATGAACTCCTTCGGATATTCATTATCTTCTAGTTCTTTAGTAATCCGGTTCATCTCTTGACGTTTATCCTTTTTTTTGGTTACTAGTTTCCGAGCTCGAGCAATTAGGCTAAGTCCTACTGACATCTTGATGCTGGTTGAGTGGTCAGAATGGAAGTTGAGGTACCGTTCCGTATGTGTACCTTTCCTGTGTATCGTCACCGATACTTTACCCGAGCCCAGTACTTTCACACGGCAATCAAGAAAATTTAGGGAGGTGTCGGTTGTTTCCAGTGTGAACTTGATTTGGTTGTGAAAGTCA